GAGGGGACAGGTGAGTGGGGACAGGTGAGGGGACAGGTGAGTGGGGACAGGTGTGAGGGGACAGGTGAGCCAGACAGGTGAGCATGGACAGGTGAGGGGACAGGTGAGGGGACAGGTAAGTGGGGACAGGTGACTGAGGACAGGTGAGCGGGGACAGGTGTGAGACAGCCCAGGTGAACACCACAGGTGAGCCAGACAGGTGAGCCAGACAGGTGAGTGGGGACAGGTGAGTGGGGACAGGTGATCGTGACAGGTGAGTGAGGAGACAGCCCAGGTGAGCAGGGACAGGTGTGAGGCAGCCCAGGTGAGCGGGAACAGGTGAGCAGGGACAGGTATCAGACAGCCCAGGTGAGCGCAGACAGGTGTGTGACCCTCCCCAGGTGAGCCGGACAGGTGAGCGGGACAGGTGAGTGCCACATGTGAGGGGACAGGTGAGTGGGGACAGGTGAGTGAGGAGACAGCCCAGGTGAGCGCCACAGGTGAGCCGGACAGGTGAGGGGATGGGTGTGAGACAGCCCAGGTGAGCACAGACAGGTGAGTGAGGACAGGTGAGCGGGACAGGTGTGAGATAGCCCAGGTGAGCGGGGACAGGTGTATGACCCCCCCAGGCGAGCACTGACAGGTGAGTGGGGACAGGTGAGCCGGACAGGTGAGCCGGACAGGTGAGTGAGGACAGGTGTGGGAACAGCCCAGGTGAGCGGGGACAGGTGTCCACACCTGTTCCCACACCTGTCCCAGGTGTCTCACCTGTCCCACACCTGTCCCACACCTGTCTCACCTGTCCCAGGTGTGTCTCACCTGCCCAGGTGTGTCCCAGGTGTGTCTCACCTGCCCAGGTGTGTCAAATTGGGTGGAAATCAGCCAAAAAATGGGGGGAATGGGGAGTGAGGACACTGGGGATTTTTGGGGACATTTGGGGACATTTGGGGACATTGAGAAAAAATGGGGAATTTGGGGGAAAAAACGGAAAAAAACCCAAAAATTGGGTGGAAATCAGCCAAAAAATGGGGGTAAGGGGGACTGAGGACACTGGGGATTTTTGGGGACATTTGGGGACATTTGGGGACATTTGGGGACATTGAGAAAAAATGGGAATTTGGGGAAAAATGGGGAAAAAACCAAAAATTGGGTGGAAATCAGTGGAAAAAATGGGAAAAAATGGAGGGAAATGGGGAGGGGGGACGGGGCAATTTTTGGGGACATTTGGGGACATTTGGGGACATTTGGGGACATTGAGAAAACATGGGGAATTTGGGGGAAAAATGGGAGAAAATGGAGGAAAAAACCCAAAAATTGGGTGGAAATCGGTGAAA